AAGTTGTCAGATAATGAAAATGTGCAAGTAGTTCAAGTTGAAAGCACACAAGTCACACAAACAACCTTAGGTTTAGGCTTGCATGGGGTCTAGGTATTACCCTCTTGAAATTTAGGTTGTTCAACCTGTCCTAATAATAGTAACCGAGTTCTAGAGGTTCTCAATATCACTGACCATCCTCCATCGGTCATAATTCCAGTCACGCAATCTTTTCTTGTAGCCAGAACCATCTCGAGAGTATGGTCTCAATGAGTGTAGCATCTTGCTACTTTCTATGGCCAAGTTGGTCAATTATAGGTTCTAAGGTCAGTTGATGCTTAATGACCCATATAACAGCCCCATACTTTCCTTGTTGCTCCACAAGGGATATCAGTACCAACTAATGTGCCACATCAACGTAGCTACTGCTTCAACCGTATCGGTCTACGCCGTACAGTTCCCTCACAGTCTATTGCTACTTACCTAAAAGGTATCCCCAGATCCAGGTTAGGATCTATAGTAACTCCGATACAAAGCCCACAAAGATAAAGCAAACAAATCAAATATTTGAAAACAATATGATGAACTAATCCTAAGGTACACCCCACTTATTAAGTCCTCCCCAGCAAATTCTCCAGTTATGTGATACGGTGGCCAGAACCGAGACTATTTTTTAGGATTTGCTGGTTTGCATTTTACGTTTGTGTTTGCAAAATGTCGCGGTAAGCAAGAGTCGCCACCGTCTTTTATTTTATCCAACAAGGAAAGGAAAAAAGCACAGAAAAATTCCTTTTTCGAGATATTTCTGAGTACGGGGGGGTAGATTATAGAAAGGGAAGGTATTAGTACCCTTTCTATCCGTAGTTATCTACGGGCTCTTAGGTACTTGCTCATCATTTTCAAAATTGCTTCTTTGTGTTTGTGTGCTTTGAAAAGTTTTTGTTTTGACTTCGATTTAACTCTTGCTTTTGTCTTTAAGAGTGTAATGAAGTGTTTTTGAAAACTTTGTTTGTAAAGGAGTGTAAGTGTGAAAAAGTTTATTTTGATTGAGCAAGTACTGAAGAGCTAATCTACCTACTCGAAAAAAAAATCGTTCTGTATTCGTTTCCTTTAGACAGCGCTATCCCACTATTAGCGAGTAGGTAGCACCGTCGTTGGAGTTTTGAGGGTCAATTCGAAAGGGACGTACAGTCACTAAATCAATGTTAGGACGTCTTAGTAATGACCCTAATGTCTTAGATCAATTTATCCGAGGCAACAATATCCGAGGCAACTTTGATCTTATGACAAAAGGACGACCACTAAAATATCCTATACTCAATGACCGTTTACCGAAGGCAACCAAGTGGGAGTGTACCCTAGGAGTGCGCATGTGCGAGTGATTCAATTTCAGATTATTATCTTTGCACATTTTAGGGTTATCTAACTGTTTTAAAGTTTAACATACATTCTTGTCATGCATCCCTAATATTCATACATCTAACAGTTTAATATTTGCGGAATTAAAAATGCGGAAATTAAACTACGTTATTACAAGGCTTCAAGTATTTACATAGCCAAAAATAAACCCTTTGAAAATAAAGCGATAAAAGTAAAGACCTAATTAACTATTACAACTCGTAGGCAGTTACAATAATTGGGTAAAAATAAAATAATAAAGCGCGCGATGAAAATTAGAACGAGTGCGAACTAGGGTTTTGACCCTTCTATCCTAATTAAAAGAGAAAATTGTTTTTGTTGTTTTTAATTATTTTTAAGAAAAAGATTAAATTTTAAAATTAATTACACAATTAATTAGTTAATTAATGAAAATAATTGCATGGCCTTTTTTGTGTTTTTTTGTTATATTTTTAAGGAAAAAGAAAATAATTAAATTAGAAATAAAAACCTATTTGTTCTAATTAATTTTAATTATATACAAAAGGAATTAAAATTATCTACAATTAACAACCTAATTAAATCAATTAATTTTATATAAAAAAAATAAAATCTAAACCTAATTTGTGAAAAGTATTATTTTTTCATGATTTTTTTATAAAAGAAAATAATTAATTGGTGTTAGTAAATAAATAAATTAAATTAAATAAAACAATTAAAAAAAAGAGTAGAGTAAGAGATATGGGCCTGAAAAGGATTTTTGGGGGTGCAAATAGGGATTCTGGGCCCAAGAAGAGTGAGGTCCATTTGACTTTTGCATCCAGTGCGTTGCTTTGACTGAGGAGTTTGGTGCTCCTTCGTGGATGGTCATCAGATTTGGCCATCTGGCCACTTGGCAGACTGGATCTTGAAGACGTATGATAGGCCTTGGATTTGTAAACACATGAGATTACCTGAAAGAAATTAAGAAAAATAACAAACGTTGGAGGCAGGGGTCGAACCCCTGACCTCAAGCTCCCCAACGCCTTAACGCTTGCCTGGCTACCGATGGGCCAATTGTTTTTGTTGTATGTAGTATAAACAAGAATTAGTATAAAATAAACAAGCGAAGTAACCAAATATTAGCGCGAACTTTCAAACAATCCAATGGAAGGGTGCCACGCAGTCGTCTTCAACCTTGTTCAGTTGGTAAAAGTCCCAGACTTTTATCTACGGACGCTTGTCCGTCACTATATCCCTGCCATTTCTCAAAATCAAGCATGAGTAAGATAAATCAAAACTAAAGCCATGAATGGCTTCGTCTGGAGCTGCTGAGTTCAATGATTGCCCTTTCATGGCCCAATTTTTCCTGTAAATGAAAAATCCCAATTTGAAGCAAGGAACCCTAATAATGGTGAAATCCACTACAGGCCATATAAATGCAATTAAACAATATAGAAAGCTTGCAAATGTTCCATGGATCAAGAATATATGGTTAATTCATGCTAACAATGTCTAAATCATGCAAACTGAATTCAAGAAATAAGCAAGGTCGTGATGGACTTACAGCGCGATATAGGGTCTGGAAATGCTTGGTTTTGATTGCTTTTGCTTGCTGATGACCTCAGGAAACGATTGGGATCGTCCAAGAGTCTTGAATTGGCCTCTAAGTACGAACTCAATTGACCACTTTTTCTTGTTTTTTTTCAGTTTTCCTCCTGGTTCATCCGCCTCTCTCTAACCTCTTTTTGTTCGCCCCTGGCACTGTATTCTTGCCCTTGTATTTATAGGAGTATGATGGTCCAGTAACAGCAAGAGACAACCAATTAAACAGGCCTTTAAAGCCATGAGACAAGAATCTGACGAATTAAAAGCATTCCTTTTTGGAAAAATTTATGTCTCTTTAGAAATCTTGGATGAACTTGGACACTTGACCCCTTCGAATACCCTCCAGCATTTCTCTTCGATTGGCCTATGAGTTGCCATCTTCGAATGGACTTCTTATGCATGCTTCGAATGGGCTTTCTGAAGGCTTCTTCGAACGGATCTTTTGGAATGCCAATCGAAGGGCCTTTGTCCATACCAATCGAAGGGTGCTTGGTTAACATGCCTGTCGAAGCTGCCTGGTTTGAGATGTTAAATTGAAGGATTCTTTGCCATGCCAATCGAAGGGCTTGGCCATGAGGCCAATCGAAAGGCCTTGTATCCATGCCAATCGAAGACCTTGTTGAAATGCCAATCGAAGGATCTTGTTACAAAGACAATCGAAAGATTTTGTTGAAATGCCAATCGAAGGGCATTGTTGACCGCTCGAAAACTTTATTTTGTTCTCTTAGATTTCCTTAAGTTTAGACCCATCGAAGCGACGTTAAGATGCCAATTGAAGACGTCTTTGTTCTGATTCCAATCGAAAGACTTTTCTAAAATGCCAATCGAAAGACCTTGTTAAAAGGCCAATTGAAGGATCTTTGTCCATGCCAACCTAAGGGCGCTATGCAGATGCCAATCGAAAGGCATTTTGCAGATGCCAATCGAAAAGCACTTTGGAGATGCCAATCGAAAGGCACTTTGACGAACTTCAAAATTTGTTATTTTTCTTCAAGCAAGTGTTTGTAACCACCCGTGTGAGAGAAGATCTTGTAAAAAGTGAGAGGGAAATTTTGGGGTACAACAACCACCTATGCAAGAGGAAAATCTTGGAAAAAAATATGAGGACAAATTTTGGGGTACAACAGACAAATACTGTGTCCTCTGCGACAGGGAAGAAACAATTGATCACCTCTTATTTGATTGTGATGAGACTAAACATATTTGGAGTAATATTCTTGACTGGATTCAGCATTCTCATTCTCCCAAAAGCTGGAACGAGGAACTAACTGGATTATCTCGCATGGAAAAGGAAAAGGGTGTAGGGTTGTCCTTGTTAAGCTTGCAACGGTTGAAGTTTTTTACGGCATTTGAAAGCATAGAAATTCCTGCATCTAAAAGTGATAAGGAAGCTCCTATCCTTAAAATGAAGAACAAGATATCTTTAGGAGATGATTCTGTAAAAAGATAAAGCATAAAATTATTAGTCTAATGCTAAATTAAACTAATCTTTCTTTATTTTATTTTGTCCTCTTGTTAACTGGGTCTTAACGATCGTCGTGTATCTTCTCTATTTTTTTATTATTAAAGTCAATCTTTTTAAAAAAAATATTAATATATTTAAGACATTTACAACAATAGATAATCAAATAGATAAATACAAATTAATTTTATGCAATTTGTAGTATTTTAAATCTACTCAGTCAAAAAAATATTTTTAAACTAATTTTCAATTATTTTTTGACCGAATTCAATTTTATTCATTTGAATTTAATTATTATATGGCACGCACGCAAGCTAAAGTTTGGACTTTGGTAAAAAAAGCAAAAGTGAGAGACATCGCGAACTGTATCTATGGCGGCGTAGGTAAAAATAGAGGAAGCTTCGTGTGACATCTATCAAGCATTTTTTCTCCAACTTGATATAAAAACCCCCTACCCTCCAATTCTATCTACGTCCTGTCATTCTCATTCTCACTCTCACACTTCACAACACAACAATTCTTCTTCCTCGTTAAAAACATTTTTCTTCCCTGCCTTTTCGTAACACCATTTCACCCTCCAAAACATTCTAACAGAATGTGTGGCGGTGCTATCATCGCTGACTTCATTCCTCGCCGTGGAGGCCGCCGCCTTACTGCCTCGGAGCTCTGGCCTAACTCTTTCGGCCAACAGCTTGACTCCTCCTCAGACTTCGGTTTTCCTGATCAACTACCACCCATTACTCTCAAAAGATCAGACCCTCCTAAAGGTCAGTATTTACCTTTTTTTTTTTTTTTTTAACTTATGATAAGAGTTATGGTTTTCTGATTGTTTGTGATGGAACAGTTAATGAACGAGTTGAAAAGCCTGTGAAAAAACAGAGGAAAAACCTCTACAGAGGAATCCGACAGCGTCCATGGGGAAAATGGGCTGCTGAGATTCGTGATCCCAGAAAAGGTGTTCGTGTTTGGCTTGGTACTTTCAACACTGCTGAAGAAGCTGCTAGAGCTTACGACAAAGAAGCTCGAAAAATTCGAGGTAAAAAAGCTAAGGTTAATTTCCCCAACGAAGATGATGCATATTCTGTTCAAACTCGTCGTCCACCACCTATTCGACCACCGAGTCCAAACCCGAATCATTCTCTCTATCATCAACAACAATATCCAAAGAATCTGAACCTGGAGTTTGGTTATGATCTGAACCGAACTGAACCGTTTATAATATCTGGTTCTGGTGGTGATGAGAATTCTGTATATGGGTCTGGTTCATGTTCTGAGGTTGGTTACTCTGTACTAGAGTTCGGTTCCACTCGAAATGAAAATGGTTATTTCGGTGGTGTTGTGAATGAACATGAAAAAGAGAAAGAGAAAGCGAAAGCGAAAGCGAAAGAATCAAATGAACAAGAAGCACGTGCTGAAGCTGAAGCGGCGAAGAATGAAGTTCAAGAGTTATCTGATGAATTGATGGCGTACGAGGATTACATGAAGTTTTATCAGATTCCGTACTATGATGGACAATCGATGCCACCGAATATTGTTCAGGAGCATGTTGTTGGGGATTTATGGAGCTTTGATTGATACTAAAAAACAATAACAACTGTTTTTCATGTTTCTGTGAAGAAGACAGAAATTTCCCATTATTATGATTCGGTTATATCTCTATTTTGCATGTTAGGATGGTGGAATTGTAAATTCGGGTACTTGGTTAGAATTTGTGTCATGAATTTCGATTTATTTCTTGTTTTTTTGAGTTTTGTTGGACTTTTGGTCATGTCAAGTTTTGTTCAATTGTATTTCTTTGGTGTTTTACCAGATGAAATTAACAATATTTCAATTCTGAATTCCGATTACAAATTTTATTTTATTTCACTTGTTCATTACTATATTACGTCGTACGTTTTCTTTCTTCCATAATATCGGTTTTTAACTCTGCTACGGGGAATAATTATTGATTAATTCTTCACTAATTTATTTATTTTTTGACTTATTCTAATCTAAATTATTAATTAAGAATAATAAACGTGTCTGTATTTTATTTGTTGAAAGAGACTTTGTTCATATTATTTTACAGTGTATTGGCGTTTCAACATGACGAAATTTATAAAATGAAATTTTGCTTGCAAGCTCCCAAGCAGTTGTTACAAATGTTGAAAATGAATTAAATTATTTTTTAATTAACTTCAATTTATTTTTGCATAATTCTTGTTAAATATGTCCTTATAATAAGATTTACTTTGGAGATTGTTGTCTTAAATATAAAAAAAGTATAAAAAAATTGTGCTTGTATATTAATGATTATTACTAAAAATACTTTAATTTCTCATCAAAAAAGAATAGTTTTCTTTCTATTATATATATTAAAAAGATTATTTATAAAATAAATAATTACAAGAATAATTAAGAAGATTCAACAATGAGAGTAAGACACTCGTATAAAATAATTGTGTTGAGGACAAAGTTGATAGCGTAAGTAATAGTATTACATTAAATCACTGAATGGAGCACATGATGGTGATGCAAAAGTGGAATATGTAAATATGGTAAAAGAAGTGAAATGGAAAAGGCATGAAATGAATCCAGTGGCGCGCGCAGCTGGTTTTGTGTTGTAAAGTGGGCTGTTTCTCTTTCAGATAAATAAACAAAACAAGCGACGCCGCACTCAATGGGCGCCTACAGGTTCATAAAACTTGTACTCGGTCTTTTGAATAGTCAAATAATTCTTGTCTTCTTTGTTTTATTCCTATCACCAACTCACCTAAATCGGACACACGCATTTCAATTTTTATGAAAGAATAAATAAATATAATTTCTGTAAAAAAATAATTATAGAGTATGTAAGCACACAGATCTTAACATTGTGGATAAACTAATATTTCTTGAAAAAAATTATTTGATAATTGTAGGACTTCATTCGTCTCGTTAATTTGTGTCTTACATTTGAAAATTATGTACTTTAAAAAAATGAAGGACATATTTATTTAAGTATTCCGTCACCCTATGTCTCATGTTTGAGCGGTTATGTATTTCTGAAGGAAACAATTGACTTAGTCAAAAGAACACGATTCTTAACATGATAAAGCCGCTGAGGTCCGAGAAACTATTTAGTATGTATTTAACGGTATTAACTACTCACACGATCATAAGAGAACACGAGAATTAATTTCAATTATGGCCATTCATAGAGATATTCTATAAACAGAGAACATTATATAAAGAACCATCCTCTTTTGGAGGAAGGCGAGCATTCCTAAAACGAAAAATACATAATTTCTCTGCAACCTCTCCTGATCAACATCGGGGTGGTTATCAATATTGTTCTACAGGAATAATTGGCGTGGTTTGCGGAAAGAGGTAAAATTTCTTACTTCCACATCAAAATTGTGAACAAACGTGGTTCACGCCGCTAGAACAGGACCGCCAACAGCGAACAAGCATAGTAGATCACAATGGAGGAGTTGCCCGTAGTGGTGGAGTTTCTATGCCAGCAGAACGAACAACTCCATGGCATCATTCATGATCTACAACAGAATCAGTAAGATCTTCTATTTCCAGTGATTTCTGGTAAACAACCGCTAGTCCTCCAAACTATCGAATAAACTTACTGACTGTTATTCAATTTCTCTGGTAACTCGCAGGATCGACTAGATTGATCCTAGGACGTGTTGGTCATTAGGGTAACTCTCATGATCGAACAGGTATTCATGGTTGGTATTTAGAATGTTGTGTAGGTGTTTGACTTATTTCGATTTCTCTCTTAAAGATCTAAAGGTGTAATCAAAATATATGTGCGCGAAACTAAATTGCATGAATAAAGGTCAATTGTAAAGACATGTAAAAACTGCATAAAAGACAAGTAAACGACTTCGAAACGTAAAAAACACAGTTAATGTAAAAGATTCGAAATGTGAAGAAAGCATTTAATGCAAGAAAACTGTAAAATGGCTTTAAGTGAAAAAGGTGTTCGAAGGATAAAAACTTGAAGATAAATGCATGAAAAGTATAACAGTTTCTGAAATGTAAAGTGTTTGAAATGAAAGGAAAGCATTTAAATGTAAGGCATCAATGAAAAGATTTCGAATAAAAAGACTTTAGATGCAAAAACTTGTAAATGGTATTGATATAAAGACAAAGGAAAGTACTGGAATTGATAAAGAGTTTTCATTAAATCATAAACATGTGGTGTTATCATACGTACATTGTTCTTGCATTCGTTTCCCTAGCCCTGTGGTAATTTGAATGTTTACTGAGTTTTTTTGTACAATAGATATGACACCCGAAATCCTAATGCTAAGACTTCTATTTATACTACTTTGACCATAACGGTCTTGCTATAAGATTCTGCCACGTTCAGAACATGCAGAGCAATGCCTCTCTTTTGCTTCCACGTGTCTTCGAATGCTCCAGCGCATATATTTCAAATTTCGAACATCCCGCTTGCATTTGAATTTCAAATGTTTTGGCACTTCTTCGCTTCGAACGCACTTCTTAGACACAGTCTTGTTGTCATTTCGAGACTTCTTTGGATATATTCTCATAACTGTCACTCGAAGCTCCAAGCTCTGATATGCTCATTCTAAGCATTGCTTCTACTATTTTGAAACATGACGTCTTGTTTCATTTCGATCGAAACGTCCAATTTACTTTGCTTCTAATAATATTATCAAAATCTTCAACCAACACCTTCACCCCGAGGGCAATCATCCTAACGACCCGATGGACACTCAATCTCTGTCAGAAGAGAATTGGAATGACTAGGTTCTATAGAATTTCAAACCTCCACATTTCCTTGTCTTCAATGGGAAGAGAGACCCTCAAGTGCATGTTTTAACCATTAACAATCAGATGGTGATCATCGGTGCCAGCGACTCTCAAAAGTGCAAATAAATAGCGGACACTCTTTCCGAATCCGTCTTGCACTGGTACATGGATTTACCTAAACATTCGATCACGAGCTATCAAGATCTGGCGAAGGAGTAAATACACCATTTTTCACCAGCAAGCACAGAAAATTTTCCACGACTAGTTTGTTCAACGTCAAATAGGGACAAGGGGAAACTCTGCGAGTATCGGGACTGCTTCAGTAAAGAAACGATCAAGGTATCTCATCCCAATCAAGAGATATTTGTCAGGGCGTTTCAGAATGGGCTGAAGGTGAGACACTTCAATGAATCGTTGGATCAAAAGTCGGCAACGTCGATGGAGGAGATCACCACCATAGTTGAATGCTATATCAAAGGGGAAGAAAGTAACATCGAGAAGAGATCCCAGTTTGTGAAGGAAAGAGGGATGTTAAGATTCGAAGATACCAATTTAAAAAAGCAGAGAGAGGGTGGACATCACAAGGAAAAACCGTATAGGGCGGGTGTAGCGGTGAAAAATTTGAGATTAAGATATGTATTAACTTAACTTATAAAGCAAGATTCGCCACCGCACTTTATTGTTTCCAAAGGAATGAGAAAAGAGCGAATAAAACCCACAGAAGTTTTAAAACAAAACTAATAAAATAAAGAGATAAGGGTACGGGGGTTGGTTATGTAAAGAGGAGGTATTAGAACCCAATGCATCTATATTACTATATATGAACTTCTTGAAAATTTACGGTTTGGTTAAAAAGGGGCGTTGTTTGCAAAGATTGGAGAAATGAGAAAATAATTGGTTTTTAATATTTTGATTCGGCAAAAATACAAGAGTTTTGTGCCTACATACCACTGATGTTCAATAACGAAATCAGAATTCCATAGTTCGGGTTACAAAGAACAACGGTAGTTTGTTAATTAATTTTAAATGAATAGACATTTATCATCTTAAGGAGAATACTCAACTAATCAACCATAAATATGAGAAGATATACCTTTGCATCACAATAAAAGAAGGGCTTCAACTTTGATAGAAATCAACAAGTATGCCACTAGCTCTCTCAAGTGGAAAAGGATAAACACTATACCAATCAATATTGTGGGATTGGAGAAGTACAACTCAACTTTAAAGAGGACTCATGTCTAATCTTTCAGAAAAGATGTTAAAATGAAAAGCCAAGTGACAAAATATTTGAATGAGGTTTTATATTCTTTTTATGATTTTGGAAAGGGGTTTTATTATACTTAAGTTTTTTGAAGCATTTATTAAGAAAACAATTTCATGATCACTTGACAAAGTCAAAGTTTATTATGAAAGGTGAAAGTTTAAAACAAGAAGGTTTTGAAAAATGGAGAAGATTTTAAAAATTAAAGAAGGGGAGGAGATGAAGAGGCTATCCTAAAGCATAAAGTACAAGATAGGAAGAAAGATCTAACAAAACAAGAAGTAAACACTTGAACGTAAGTCAAAATGGACATTCCCTTCGTTTGGATTAATCCATAACAAAAGCAAGATAAGAAGATGAATAACATAAGCACTGATGAAATTTCAAGCATCAGATGAAAACTTCTTTGTCTTAAATGAAATTTCAAGTATCAGATGATCTTTCAAAGTAATAATCCATGCATAAGATAAAACCAATGTTTTAAAATCCAGACCGGTGATCGACTCGGTAAAGTTACTGGGTCATTGGGTTATTGGTCGGACCAGTGGGTCACTGG